CTGCTTTATGTTTAAAACCCACTTATAAGTGAGTACATGTGATAATTGTCTTTCTGTATCTGGTTACCTCGCTCAAAAGTATGTTTTCTAGCTCCATCCATTTGCCTGCAAAATTCAAGATGTCATTATTTTTTTCTGCTCTGTAGTACTCCATTGTGTAAATGTATCACATTTTTCTTATCCATTCTTTGGTCAAAGGGCCACTTAAGTGTGGCCCTTAAGTGTTTCCTTAAGTGTCTTTCAGCCATATTTCAGCCTCTGTTGAGAGTTCTCTGTTCTTTGATGGTTTCAGCCCAGAATTGTACAAGATTTTCAAAGAAGAACTAATACCAATACTCCTCAAATTATTCCACACAATAGAAACAGAAGGAATATTGTCAAATTCTTTTTATGAGGCTACAATTACCCTGATACCCAAACCACAGAAACACATTACTATGAAAAAGAATTCCAGAGCAAGTTCACCCATGAACATTGATGCAAAAATACTAAATAAAATACTGGCAAATAAAATCCAAGAGCACATCAGTACCATCATCCACTATGATCATGTCAGCTTCATCCCAGAGATGCAGAGATGGTTCAATATACAAAAATCTGTCAATGTAACCCACCATATAAACAAGCTAAAAAATAAAAAAAATCATATGATCATCTCATTAGATGCCAAAAAAGCTTTTGACAAAAATACAACATCACTTCATGATAAAGGTCTTGGAGAAAGCAGGGATACAAGGAACATACCTAAACATAATAAAGGCAATATACAACTAAACAATAGCCAACATCAAACTAAATGGAGAGACACTCCCAGCAATCCCACTGAAATTAGGAACAAGACAAGGTGTCCACTCTCTCCATATCTATTCAATATAGTTCTTGAGGTCTTAGCCAGAGCAATAAGATGCCAAAAGGAGATCAAGGAAATACAAATCAGAAAAGAAGAAGTCAAATTCTCACTGTTTGCTGTTGATATGATAGTTTACATAAGTGACCTTAAAAATTCTACCAAGGAACTTTCAGTAATGTAGCAGGATACAAGATTAACTCAAAAAATTAGTATCCCTCTTATACTTAGATGATAAAAGGGCTGGGGAAGAGATCAGAGAAACATCATCTGTCACAAAAGCCACAAATAATATAAAATAACTCAGAGTAACTCTAACCAAACAAGTGGAAGACTTGTATGATAAGAACTTTAAATCTTTGAAGGAAGAAATTGAAGAAGATACCAGAAAGTAGAAAAAGATCTCCCCTGTTCTTGGATAAGAATAATTAACATAGTAAAAATGGCAATCTTATCAAAAGAAATCTACAAATTCAATGCAATTCCTATCAAAATCCCAGCAAAATCCTTCACAGGCCTTGAAAGAACGGCACTCAACTTCATATGGAAAAGAAAAAAAAAAACAGGTTAGCCAAAACAATCCTGTAGTGTAAAGGAACTTCTGGAGGCATCACAATCCCTGACTTCAAACTCTACTACAGAGCTACAGTACTGAAAACAGCCTGGTATTGGCATAAGAACAGAGAGGAGGACCAATGGAATCAAATCAAGAACCCAGATATTAATCCACACACCTATGAACACCTGATTTTTGACAACGAAACAAAAAATATCAAATGGAAAAAAGAAAGCATATTTAACAAATGGTGCTGGCATAACTGGATATCAACATGTAGAAGAATGAAAATAGACCCACATCTATCACCATGCATAAAATTCAGGTTAAATGGATCAAAGAACCCAACATAAAGCCATCCATACTGAACCTTATAGAAGAGAAAGTGGGAAGTACACTTGAACACATTGGTACAGGAGACCACTTCCTAAATATAACTCCAGCAGCACAGATACTGAGAGAAACAGTTAATAAATGGGACCTCCTGAAACTGAAAAGCTTCTGTAAAGCAAAGAGCATGGTCGGTCAACAAGACAAAACGACAACCTGCAGAATGGAAAAAGATCTTCACTGACCCCATATCAGACAGATGTCTGATATACAAAGAACTCAAGAAATCAGTCATCGAAAGAAGAAATAACCAAATGTTTTCATATTTTAATACTAAGAATTAAGGATGATATATTTATTGTTAAACTTATTCAAAGTTATATGAACACATGTATATTAATATTGCTTGTTTCTTTAGTCATTGAGATACAGGAATTTACTTGTCATATGAGACATCTGATATCTCTCTGGCACATTGAAATATGGGTATTTATGTTTTATTTGCTTTTAAAATACTTTATATATGCTTTCCAACATCACCATCATGTGTTCCTTAGGAATGACTATTGGACTTCATATCAGTTAACAAAATTTAAGTTACTACTAACTCGAACAACGACAACAAAACAGGTTTATATATTTCAGGACTGTTTTACGAAATCATTTAAAATGAAAAGCCATCAACTTTTTCAGCTTCATTTTCTTAATATCAGTGGTGGTTGCAAAAGCTCTTTGTATATGTTCTATGTTTAGAAAAAAAGTAGGGAACATAGACATTGAGGAATTTATCTTTAATAAGTATGCCTGATTGCCTCATTTATTACTTTTCTTTGTATTTAATTGACTAATAGTTTTTTTAAAGAGTGATTTCTGTAAGAAAAATTCAGAAATTATTTCTTTAAATGAAGAACACTGGAACACCAGAGTAATTTTCATGTGATGATATTAAGGATGATGAAATGGATGTTAGATTAGAAATTGATCAATTCCACATTACCTCTGAAGGAACTTGAGAAAGGCAAGAAGAGATTGAAAAGGAAGGAAATGTCCATGTCTAAGATGACAGCATTGTTCTGATCATATGTTCACCCAAAGTCATGTGACTTAACTCAGGATATTTTACCTAAGTTTAGTTTATAAACTCATGTATGAAATGAAAAAGTAAAATTTATTATGATGACAAACCATTGTCAGTTTCACATTTATGAGTATTTGACATTTGTTGTAATAACCTGACAATTTGGGGATCATGAATTAACTGATAACCTTAATACATTTAAATTATATATATATACTGGAAAGTTGAGTCTGTATTTTGTGGATTCCTTTTTTGAGTCATGATTTTATAATCCAATCTGTTCTCACTCCACCACTATTTATACATATGATGTATAAATAAGAGGTCACTAATTGAAAATGAGCAATGCTTTAAGTATAACTAATCCTAAAATACTGGAGCACAGTGCAGTATACATGTTGTTTCTTCCTCAAAAACATTTTGTTTATTTTACTTCCTTTCTATGATTAGGGCATTATGCTTTTTTTGGTGAGGATTTTAATAAAGTGATGATGCATAGATATAGGATCCACACTCCAAAAATACCGGTGAAGAATATGTGTCAGCATCTCAAAATAGTCGAGCATGTCAGGTAGATAATGTCAAGATTAGTTTCCAAGTCGATTTGGTATGACCATAGCTAGTTCTGCTTGCTATGAAAGAATGCATAGTTGCGCCTTGTGGTACACACCTGGAAATTCAGCAATACAAAGGTTAAAAAAAAGAGCATCACAAGTTCAAGGGCAGTTATGGCTACCACTTAATAGACATATGCCTCTTTTAAAAACAAGTAATTGTCATGTGAAATGTTAGTGTTTTATGAATATTGTGCTCTTATAATTATATTTCTCTATAAACACTAACATAATATTCATAATATTGAATTTTTAGATCCTTGCCATTCTTTATTTTAAAACTACATCAAGGCTGTTTGTATAAAGAAATTATCATATTCCAGCAATTCATAGAATTTTCCTAAAGTGCTTCTTTGTTAAGGAAAATAGCTACCATGCTGGTTCATCATAAAAAAAAAAAAAAAAAAAAAAAAAAAAAAAAAAAAAAAAAAAAAAAACGTGCCTTAAAGTAAATTGAGTTGTATGTTCCTCAAATTGATGTGGGAGTGATTTCTTAATAATAAAGAAACTGCCTCGGCCCTCATAGGACAGAAAATTAGGTAGGCGGAGTAGACAGAAGAGAATTCTGGGAAAAAGAAGCTGAGTGAGAGTCGCCATGATGCTCCCACTCCAGACAGACGTAGGTTAAGATCCTCTCTGGTAAGCCAGCTCATGGGCTACACAGAATATTAGAAATGGGTTAGAACAATATGTAAGAGCTAGCCAATAAGAAACTGGACCTAGCCAGGCCAGGCAGTGTTTGAAAGAATACAGTTTCCGTGTAATTATTTCTGGGTATAAACTAGCCATGCGGGCAGCCGGGTGCCGGGGACGCAGCCCTGCCGCCCCTATTTCAACAGATGGCGCCCAGACGTGTGGACAACTGAATCCACAGAAAGCCTGAAAAAGCTTGGGAAAGAGTAAAGCATGTTTTCTTGGTAGCACAAATTTCTTGGGTCTACTCTGCTTGCTAGAGGCAAGCAAGCGCTCTCATCTAAGAGAGGCTTCCTGACTCAGCTTCAGCTGCAAAACCCTGCAGCTCATTAAGAGGTCCTGCCACGAAACACTTAAACGGTGTTGGTGAAAAGCTGAACGCATGCTTTTCGGTTTTCAGCCGTAGCAGGAAAAAAGCTGTGCTGTTTAAAAATGCCGGCTTTCTGGGCCGTCCTGCCAGGGCAAACTCTGACTGAGGCAGGAGGGCCAACTACCGAGAGAGGACTTGACTGTTGTCTGTTGTAGCTCGCTGGCTGGCAGGGACCTTGAAACGCCATAGAGTTGTGGCAGTAAACATGGCTACAACCGGTACCTCAGCCATGAGGCTGGAAAGCTAAGGAATGGACTGGATCTAGCTGGCAAAGCCACGGCTTTAATCCTACTCATATTGCTCAGTAATTTAAAGGCTCGTGTGGTCAGAAAAAGAGAGATATACAGTAAAGAGATTCAAAGATAAAGAAAATGTTTAAATGATTTACAGTGTGTTAAAAATATATGCAAGCTAAAAGTTAAAAGTTTTAAAAAAAAAGTAAGAAAAAGAGAAGTTGTGTGTGGTAGTACACGCCTTTAATCCCAACACTTGGGAGGCAGAGGGAGATTGACCTCTGTGACTTCAAGGTGTGGTAGCACACGCCTTTAATCCCAGTGCCTAGAAGGCAGAGACAAACAGATCTCTGTGAGTTCAAGGTGTGGTAGCAAACACCTTTAATCCCAATGCCTGGGAGGCAGAGACAGGCGGATCTCTGAGAGTTCAAGGAGAGCCTGGTCTACAGAGTTATTCCAGGTCAAAGAGATACAGAGAATATAAAATAAAAGTAAAAATAAACGAAATAGAGGTTAAAATAAAGCGTACAAAGATGGAAAATACACAGAGAATCTTGATACTGTATACTATTATGCTCTCTTTGAATTGTTTGAATGCTGAGGAAGGAGCAACAGATGCTAAAAGATATTTGTTTATAAATGCTGCTGAACTAATCCATCGTAGAGATTTTGATGCCTTGACTTTGAAATTTGGATCTAAGGACATGATACTTTGGAAAGGAGTTTCTTATTTTGTTTTCACAGAGGATGAGACCCTGTTCATTTCTTCTATTCCGATATGGTATGATGGACCACGCCCTCCTGAACGGTTGCTGTGAATACCTTCAGAAAATTGCTTCGCTCAACTGCCAACTGAGATGAAACTAGCACACAGGTTATACCATGAAAGACCTAATTAACGACGCCCCCATTCAGCAGGAAGCAGTTTGGAGAGAAAAAACTGCGCCCATATTCCCAAATATTGTTTATAAATGTTCTTTTACATTTAAAGGGGGAGATGATATAGGTATGAATAATTTACATTGATATGGATTTTGCTTTAGTGATTTAAATTTAAGGTCAATTTTGTAATGTATATAGGTTGTTAATGAATAATCATTAATAATAGTTAAGTTTGTAGTCATGTTAGTTAAGATTTTCTAGATGTGCATAGATATATTTTAGATAGGCATTCTTCATATTTTTCAAAGATTATAGAATATGGCATTTTAAATGTTTTAATAACTTAGGACTTTTCATGACAATGAGACACTCTGCTCCTGGCAGCACCAATCTACTTCAAGAGGAAGATGGGCATCGAAGAGGATCCTTATGGAGTTTGATAGCCATTTGGGCAAGAAACTGCTCTTGCCTGGACTATTGCATAAACTGGACACAGAGAACCCGCAGAGAGAGGACTGCTGAACTTGCCTAAAGGTGAGATGATCTTTCGGGGTTCCTGATTCATGAAAGAGTCTGCAAGACATTCTTCAGGACAAGCAGATAGTGACTGCCTTTGAAAGTTCCTGCTTTGTGGAAATGTCTGCTGGAAACTATGGGCCTCTAGGCTGAAGATGGATGCCCCAACGGTACAGAGGAACTTTGGGTGACTGTCCAGGCAGTGAGATGTCTCTGTCATTTCTAGAGTTTGAGAGTTTGCTTATTTCTTATTTGTTTAGGTAATATTGTATCTTTCTGGACTGTTTGATGGAGTTAAGAATAGTTAGCTATAGTTATAGTTTTTCTTAGTTATGATATAGATTATTGTAATTTTTACTTGATAACTGTTTTGTTATATGTAATTTTGGGATGTTAAGTTAAAGCCTTTTTTTTTTTTGTTTAAACAGAAAAAGGGGAAGTGATGTGGGAGTGTCATATATCAATCTGTTGATTTCATTGGTTAAGTTATAATAAACCAGCTGCTTGGCCTCATGGCTGGAACATAGATGGGAGGAGTAAACAGAATAGAATTCTGGGCGGAAGAGGAAGTGAGGTCAGACTCTGCTCTGCTCCCAGAGAGACCCGACAGCTCTGCTGGAGCAGAGACGCCATGCTCAGCTCTCCCAGGCAGCTGCAACCCACGATGGACTTAGGCTAGAATCTTTCCGGTAAGCGCACCTTGGGGTGCTTACACACATTATTAGAAATGGGCTAGTCCAGGTGCAAGAATTAGCCTATAAGGGCTAGAGTATGGGCCAAGCAGTTCTTTAAATGAATACAGTTTGTGTGTTGTTATTTCGGGCATGAGCTAGCCAAGCGGCCGGGGTGTTGGGGACGCAGCCCCGCCGCCGCTCCTATTTCAACATCAAATAGCATAGTTTTCAAAGAGTTCTGTAAAATCTTTTGCATCCTGTGAGCCTCTTAGTCATGAGGAGCCAGCCCTCCGTTTTTTTTGTTTGTTTGTTTTTGCAGGAAGCACAATTTTCACAGCTTACCTGGCCCAGCTGTGAATTTCTCCTTCAAAATACCAACGTTTTTTAGGTAATTTTTCACTTAGACCACACATTCATTTTGCTTTTACCAGGCTGTAACTGACTGACATACTATGTATTCTCAGATCTAGATATTTACTGTGCTGATGCTGGTCTGACTATGAACGAAGAACTGTCAAGCTCATTTACTACTGGCTAGGCACACATATGTTACAACTCTTACAATTCTATTTTCATTATTGCTAATAATTACTCCTGGGATCTAATTAGTGTAGTGATTACTTTTATAAGAGGTGCTATTATTATGGATTCAATCCAGTATCAGTGGAATTCCATGGCAATAAATAAATTTGAATGTTTCTATTTCTCATTTAGATATAACTGTAGGTCACAATTCTATTGTATGTAGGACAGGTGAATACATAATTCCAACTACTTGTCTTGCTCTACAGTTCATCTTTTACCCTAATGACACCACAGATACTTCCAGACTTCAGGCTAATAGTCTTTTGTGGCTGGTATCAAATTGGAAAAGATTAAAGAGATTTCTTTGTTTCACACATAAATCCACCGAGATTCTGCTAGTACTGTCATGAATATTTCCAAACTAAAAGAGATGTTGAATCACATTATAAGTAGATGATGTGCTATTTCTCCATTGATACAATAATTTGTGACTAAAATATTCTAAAGGATTTGCAGACTGAATGGGAACCTGCCCTCCTATTTTTTTTAAATCACCAATTATTCTGTTTATTTGTTCATTCAATGCTTACTTGCTGTCAAAACTAGAGTAGCAAGTAACAAAACAAGAACTCATCATTCATCAAACTCAAATACCACTGTAAAGTAATAACCACAGAAAAGGATTTCATCATAACAAGTATGATGAAAGTCATAAAACAGGAGAAACACAGAAATAGAAAATATGTGACTTATATTCCTATGTTTAAATGTACTCATCAAGGCCTTTAAGCATATCAATAATGCTTATCGTTTTTCATATGACAGTTTAAAAGACTTCACTTGTAAATATGAAAACAGAATCAATTATAGTTCCACTCTAAACATATACCCTCATTCCCTACTGAGAAACAGCAGTTCAAGAATGAGACATAAACTAGACATGTCAGGGAAGATAAAATCTACTGAGTTTGTATTTGTTTCTAGACTTAATACTACAAAAAGGATTTTGACAAACAAGACTATCTGATCTTACACTACCAATACAGTAGGTTATTGTCTGTGATTGTTATATTCAGGCCTTTAAGTAAAGTTTACCTGAATAGCAGTGTTTCTCTTCAAGGAGGGGAAATAAATAAGTTACAAAAAAGAGAAATAATTCCCAGCTATATGAACAGTAGACCCTCCCTCATTGGGCTCATGCATGCATGTTGCTACCTGCCTTACTTCATTTTCTCAGTGTTTGGTGATATCCTGTTAGTAATTCTCTCTGCATTTTACTTGATTTGTGTTTGCTTTTCTGATTTCTTATGCTACTGCTGTTTTGATTTGTGTTGAATTTGAAGCTTAATTTCTCATGGTCCATATTTCCACCCTAGCCCTCTGGCTATCCATTCTGTAACACACACACACACAGACACACACACACACACACACACACACACACACACACACACTGAAATAAGCACTGCAATATATGTCCATGTATTGTCTGCTGTGTGGAATGTGTTCAATTACATTGTAAAGTTTTTCCCAATAATGTAATTTTAAAAAGGTATTTAGTTCTGGACAGTTCTTTCTCCCATTTACTTTTCTTACATGATGATGGAGTGGAATTTATTACATTATTCTCACTCTTGCTCAGTTTCTGCTCTAATCTTTGGTGAGTTATGGGTAGTTTATACAAGTTTTCCCACTAGGTAGTAATATAAAGAAACACTGATCTCAAAAATGAACACACAGTTTATATTCAAGTGAAAACATTTACTATCGGAACATTTATCAATCTCCTGACATAATTTTAATTTTCATAATTAGCTTATATTGACCATATGTTTGGGAGAAACCAATGATTCTGTCTTCAAATATCTAGTGTCCTCATTATGAGAAATCATGATACTAATGCATAAAGATTGAGTAAGTCATTTGTATGTTCAAGTATTAAATAATAAATGCATGTTAAGAGATATGTACCTGAGAAGAATTCAATTATGAAACACTGAATACATAAAAATGTTGAATTGCTAATAAATATTATTTTAGCATTACTGATAATATAGTGTAATATACTAAACTTATTTTTGCCGGTTTAAATCTTTTATTTCCAGTGGAAATATTTTCTATATAATTATTAGGTGAAATGTAAATATACCTTGAGATTTTTAAAACATATTCTGTTCATTAACATTTATAGTTTTAAATTATTTTTGTTCACCAGGTGTTGAAATAGGAGCGGCGGGGCTGCGTCCCCAACACCCCGGCCGCTTGGCTAGCTTATGCCCGAAATAACAACACACAAACTGTATTCATTTAAAGAACTGCTTGGTCCATACTCTAGCCCTTATAGGCTAATTCTCGCACCTGGACTAGCCCATTTCTAATGATGTTTGTAAGCACCCCAAGGTGCGCTTACCGGGAAGATTCTAGCCTACATCCATCTTCATCGCGTGTGCCTCAGAGAGCAGAGCTATCGCGTCTACCCGGGAGAGCTGAGCATGGCGTCT